CTTTATCGTTCTTGTATAATGATATGATTAATATCGCCCGGGCGGTTAGGAAGGTTACAATAAAAAGTATTAATTTTCAGATTATCTATAACGAGCGGTCAATAATATAATTATGCAACTTATGCTAGTATATTTCCGCCGAGCGTTGCAAGTTGCAACTTGGGGTTTTGCGGAGGTGGTAAAATAAAAAACACACTTTAGGGTCAAGATACAAAGTAGACGAGCGTAGCGATGCCAACAAATATTGTTTTAATAAAGAAAATATAGTAAAAATATCAGATAACGGAAACCCACAATATTTGCTAGGATGCCGTATGGGATGTGTGGGGCGTAGCCCCAGATTTTTTTTATACAAGCTCCGTGCATTATTTGATGCATTTTAAAATGTTAATATGTTCCCATTCCCGTCAGATCAGACCATTTCGGGCCGGCCCGGAAAAGGTCAGTCCGCCGCCAAAAGGGGGGGCCGGGGCCGGGTGTGCCCCCCCCCCTAAATCCGCGCCTGATGTGTAGTCCACTACACATCCCTGGTACCGTAGGGATAAAATTAGTCATCAAATGTTAAAAAAATAAAGCGACCACTACGGCTCATTCCCTATCCCATTATTTTTCGTAAGTCACTAGATACTGGCATTCACCCAAGCCATGCCTATTTTTAAACAGGGTGATAGATACAACCCAATTGTAATTACCGCCTGTTATCTCTTCTAAGTACAGTAGGCAAAGTTTTTGAGAAGCTAATTACAAAATATCTTCATAACTATTTAATCGAAAACACATTGTTGCATAAATATCAGTCTTGTTGTAACTCGGTCATTCAACGGTCAACCAATCAATCAAAATATATAATAACGTATACATGTATGAGCCTTGAAAAAAAATGTCTAGTATTTTGTGATATGTCCAAGTCATTTAACCGGGTCTGGCATAGTGGATTAATTAACAAACTAGAAAGCTGTGGAGTAAGTGGTGATTAAGTTGCTTATATGGCTAAACAAATAGGTATTAACAAGTTTCTATGCATAATGTATTATCAGATACTAACACAACAAATGCTGGAGTACCACAGGGTTCTGTACTTGGGCCTCTGTTATTTATTAATTAATTAATTATATTACTAATACTTTGATAAGGCTCTCGAGACTGCATGCAGATTATTACATATTCCGGCAATTTACTTTTAAATATTGAAACTGTTATGAATAATGACCTAAAAATAATTAACAATTGGGAAAAAATGGATGGTTAATTTTAACCAAGCAAAAGCTGAGACATTAGTTAACACTGAATCCGAACTTGATATCAATTTAGCGTTTGGCGACGTAGACACATTTTTTTCTGAAAGCCATAGACATTTGGAGAATAACACTGGGTGCAAACCTGAAATAGACCAATATACTGAAAATATTTGTAAAAATGCCTTGAAACAAATTGGAGCGTTGCGTCCATTAAAATATATACTATGTCGTAAAGCTTTGAACATATTTTATAAATCTGTTATTCTGCCCTTGTTAGAGTACGACAGTGAGCTGTGGGATGGTTGTTCCCTGGTCGATGCAGATGAAATAGAAAAAGTTCATTTGAAAGCTGCACGCGTCGTCACGGGAATGCCATATCATAGGCAAGCAGAGAATCCCCCTACTTTGAAACTGGATGGGAAACATTAGACCAAAGAAGAAAATGCAGAAAACTTTACCTATATTATGAAATCATTAATATTGTGACAAATTCTTATTTGGGAATCACCACATGTACTTCATCTTCCCAATGAAGATAATGTACCAAATATCTCTTTCTCATTGATTTCCCTACCTAGTACCTACCCTCATCCACTGCCTTATCTACCTAATTTCCCTTCCCTTTTCTAAATTCACATCCAGTCATCCCCAACTGCTCTGTATTAGACTGTCCGTATATGAAAGCCCTTCTCGCGCCCCCAAATCTGATCTATACCCTCCTTAGTAGGTAATGATGTTGGTGCGTGGAGAGCTGCCATAGGCTGTTTTCACTGTAAAGTTGCAACCATTTTAACAACATACACTTACATAACATACCCTGCTGATTTTCTAAATATTTTTGAAGCCAATGCCAAATGTTGGTTATTTACAACATATTTATTCTTACAACAATCTTGTATCAAAAATGTAAACATATTCTTTCCTATGATAATACATCTTCTTCCAACCATGGTCCAAACTAGTAATATGGCGGCAACCCATTCACTGAATCTTATGCATCTAAACATAAGAAGTATACGAAACAAAATAAGCTATATTGAAGCATTTACCGACGATGTCGACATTCTTTGTATTACCGAAACTCATTTGGATCCATCTATTACTAATGAAGAAATTAAGCTACAGGGCTTAATTGACAAACTCTTTCGAAAAGACAGGAATATGTTCGGACGGGGTGTATTGTTATACTATTCTCCATCTCTCGTAGTTAAAAGAAAACCCGAGTTAGAATTTGCTAATGACGAAGTAATATGGGTACAAGTTTATTCAAATAATACTACACATATGATAAGTAATCTATACAGACCACCTAATCTAAACTATTCTGACGGTCTATGCCACAGACTAAAACATTCCCTCGACCTGGCATTCGATATTACAAATAATGTTATTTTCATGGGCGATCTAAATGTTGACTTTTTAAAATCCCCCAGAGACGAATTATTCAACTTACTCACTTTGTACCAGATGTCAAATATTGTAACCGAACCTACCAGAATAACAGACTATTTAGCAATGTTATTAGATTCAGTAATTGTCAGTATCACAATCAACACTTTTTTTAGTGAAGTAATTAATATAGATGAAAATATAAGTGATCACAATGCTGTTTTTACAATAGTTGAAGTACCGAATCATACCCCAAAAGTTTTCAAACGAAAGGTATGGCTATATGACAAAAGAGACATTTGAAAGCTTAAACGTTTTATCACAAATATATCATGGGAAAACTAATCTAATACGTTTAATGACGTTAATGACATGTGTGATTTTCTGACGACCACTATACTTAACACTGTAGATATATGCATACCATCTAAATATGTGCAGATTAGAAAACATGACAAACCCTGGATTAATAACATTGTCAGAAGACAAATACGTAATAGAGATCGATTAAAAAAGATACTAATAAAAATAATAATGATTCTTATAGGTAAGGATGAAATATAAGCAATCAAGAAATAAAACAAATCATATAATAAAACGAGCAAAATAACTTTCCTATGAAAATATCGACAAGCATAGCCCTAAGTAAATCTAACCCCAAAACATACTGGAAATTGTTAGGCTTGTACTTATCACCACTTTTTGATGAAAATGCTAACGAATACACGAACGAAAATAAGCAAAAATGATCCGTAGTTTTTTAGCAAAAAAAAGGTCCAATTTTTTATAATATCCTAGAAACGCCCGGCCCTCGGCGATACTCATA